CTCGGTCCATTATTGTTCTTATTATATATCAACGATCTTCCAAATTGCTTATCAAATTGTAAACCGAGAATGTATGCCGATGACACGCACCTCACATATGCGGGAAGCAATCTTGAGAACGTTCAGTTTTGTCTAAATGAAGACCTAGAAAACGTCTTCAACTGGCTACAAGCGAACAAACTCACGTTGAACATGACTAAAACCGAATTCATGCTAATAGGGTCGAGGCAGAGACTGAATACTCTCACAGCTTCACCAACAATTAGAATGAACAATACTCAAGTGAGCCAGGTTTCAGCTACAAAATCGCTTGGTGTAATAATAGACGATAAACTCGATTGGCATAGTCACATCGAAAAACTAACGAAAAAGATCGCCTCTGGTATCGGGGCCCTAAAGCGAATTAGGCACCTGATCCCAGCATCAACCTTACATCTCATCTACCAAGCTTTAGTAAAACCTCACTTTGATTACTGTGACATTGTTTGGGGTAGCTGTGGGAAAACGCTACGAGACAAACTGCAGAAATTGCAGAATAGAGCAGCCCGTGTGTTGACATTCTCTAACTATGATGCTGATGCAACTGAGCTACTCGAGTTTTTAGGGTGGAAAAATCTTGCACGCCAGCAGGAAATCCATAAAGCCACCATGATGTTTAGATGTCTGCACGGGCTAGCTCCAAGGTATCTATATTCAAAGTTTACGTGGCGTGACTCTGCTTATGACCTCAGGGACTCTGAAAATAAGCTTAATGTTCCACTACCGCGCACTAATTATTACAGAAAAAGCTTTAGCTACAATGGCGCCACATTATGGAACAGTTTACCACGCGATATAAGGAACACAGAGTCTCTGGGGTTATTTAAACGTAAGATCAATGACATTTTTAAAGTCTAACGCACGGCATTCACGGAAAACAGCTTTAGTGTTATAGTATGTAGTTTTAATTTTAAATATCTTAGCGTATGTGATATGTATTTTTATAGGCTGATGAATTGATCGTGTCTAAATAAAGATTACAATACAATACAATACAATACTGAAACCGCGACGGCAAATTATTTTAATTTCTATTTGGAACTCAACGGCTACTTTATACGTCATGCTGAAGTTGAGCTGTGTCGCTGTATGCCGGAGACGGTAAGCTCCTGCAGCCATTTTTGAAATTCTAACTAAGAGTAGAAATTCATTTTTAATCGAAGTCTTCCTTGGCGTCGCCGTCGTGGTTTCTTAAGGTCCCTATTGACTCAGTGCCAATGAGAGGGATTATTAGAATACTACAGCCTAAGGGGAATCAGTTAAGTTTTATGGTGACACAACCAAAATCCTCCCTCCCCCCGCCTCCCTCCACGATAAATACTGACCGGGTCCTAAACTTACTATGGTTAAGACGGTATCACAACTAGAACATGCTTTGAGTATTAAAGTAACCATGCTTCTTGTTATCAGTGTTAATATTCCTATAAAGGCTGAAAGTTTCTAAAGAAACAGTTTGGGGCTGCGTCGGTGGGGGTAACGAAATCATTTGAATATATCAACAAAGTTGAAATGGTAAATTGGCCACCTTTACGTGTTTTTCTCGTTGCCATGTTCCCACCAATCACGTAGCTCCTTTTTCTGCCTTTAAAAGCACACACAACCCACAATTCCCCTATTCGCTCCGACGAAGGGCTAACGCTCGAAACATCAGCTTTTATAATCCCATTTCAACTTTGTTGATATATTCAAATTATATCAATATTCCTATAACACGGGACTCGACAAATACCACAAGGCCTCCCTGAACGTGTAACCTCTTCACACACTTTTTATTTAGTCTGTCATTCTTTATATCACTATCACATGAGACTTCGAAATCGTTAAAATTATCTAAAACTTTGTAAACTACTTCCAGTGGTGAGTGTCATTTCTCTCCGCTGATATTCTTACAAACGTACAAACGTAACATACGCTGCAGAAAATCGAATCTAAAGGAAAGATAAAATCATCCTTACAAAGACACTCGAGAAAAAGGCGCACCTTTTAAGACACATCAAAAAACTCGTGTGAGCACAGTGAATCATTCATTTAACAAGCACGTAGCTTGGATAATGTAATTATGTTCAAGATTTTTTTTTCCTTAACACAAAAGGCTGAGTAAAGCGCCAAGGAAATGCTCAAGAAATCCTTTGTAATAAGTAGTCAAAGAAAATTGCAAAAAGCAAACATGAAAGAGTCAATGAGGAAATTCATCTCAACAGATGTGCAACGCATGCTTTAAAAACTGATTTGAATTGATTCAAATTCATTTTCCCACGTCTCTAATCCAATTCTTTTTTTACGAACAGTTGATAATTATATGATATATAAGATAACCTGGACTAATTTTATATTAGATTTTACAAAATAACTCATATGGCTTTTTTTTCTTTTTTTCATTTTTTCCTTTTTGCTTCTTCTATGACAACTTTATTTCAATTAAGTATATCTGAAGATGCCACGTGACTATCATAACTCACTGTCAAGAGCCTTTTATCTCAGTTAGAAGATCCTCATAAAATGGAGCAAAGACAGCCAAGTTGTGTCCAACTACACGAGAAAACCTGCCGGTAATCTCAGATAGTTCAGTGTTCACACTTGTTAAACCCTGAGGGATAACTGGGTGGGTGGATTGGCCACCCTCTCTGCTTCCCTTTTGAAGAAATCGTCTCTTTATGCTGTTGAACATGAAGTCGTATGCACGAGTGGCTGTGCAAAAATAATAAAAAGAAAAACGTATCAGAATCAAATCAAAACTTAAAATGTGAAGTTTCAAGGGCAAGTTGAGCCGAACTATGTTTGAGGGAAAGTCCTGCATTTTCTGGAATCAGCAATATTTACAGCGTCTAAGGTGGCTCGTACCAGTTTCCTCGCGTGGGAAACAGGTTACTCTTGCGTGACGCGCGCGAGGGAAACGTGCGAAAGAAGCGCGAGATCAAAAGATGAAAATTCAAAACAAAGATGGCGGCGCGTGGAATTTTTT